TTAAGTACGCCGTACTCAGTACATTTGTACTTAGTACATTGTACTTAAGTAAAAGTACAAAGTACAAATCTAAAGTACACAGTATTTGTACTTGTACTTCCTGTACTGGTACTGGTCCAATGTCTGAGAGGTAGAGTGGCTCAATTTAGATTCCGATAGGATGTGGTATGGGTTGAGTTTTGAGGCGAACAGTTCTTCTGTGATTCACCGGGTTGATAAATCTGGGTCGATGCTTAAAAAGTGATTGTAGGGTTCCCGCTGGGATAGTTGGAAAATAGAGGATTTCTTGATTTCACAACTACACTGCATCCGGATAATAGGATTACAGTATCACAAATGGCTCATCGCGCCCACTTCGATTTTATAAAACCATCTGTGAATTCTTGATTTTTACCTGTGACTCAATCGGATCTTTAGATTTCACAACTAAACTCAATCAGGATAATAAGATTAAAATATCACAAGTGGCCTACCTTATGTACTTTGGTTGCATCTATGGGTCTGTGAACTTTTGATTTTCCCCTATGACTCAATCCGATTTTTAGATATTACTGCTAAACTCAATCAGCATAATAAGATTAAAATATCAGAACCGGCCTACCTTATGTACTTTGGTTGCATCGATCGATCTGTGAATTTTTGATTTTCGCCTATGACTCAATCCGATTTTTCGATTTTACTGCTAAACTCAACCAGGATAATAAGATTAAAATATCAGAACCGGCCTACCTTATGTACTTTGGTTGCATCGATCGATCTATAAATTTTGGATTTTCGCCTACGACTCAATTGGATTTTTAGATTTTACCAGTTAACTCAAACAGGATAATAGGATTAGAATCTCGAAAGTGGCCTACCTTGTGTACTTTGGTTGCATCTATCGATCTCTAAATTTTGGATATTCGCCTAGGACTCAATCGAATTTTTAGATTTTACTAGTTAACTCAATCAGGATAATAGGATTACAATCTCAAAAGTGGCCTACCTTGTGTACTTTGGTTGCATCCAGCGATCTCTGAATTTTTGATTTTCCCCTATGACACATTGGGGTTTTTAGATTTTACTGCTAAACTCATTCAGGATAATAGGATTAGAATTCTAGAAGTGGGGCACCTTATGTACTTTGCTAGCGTCCATGTGTCTGTGAACTTTCGATTTTCCCCTATGGCTCAATCGGATTTTTAGATTTTACTACTAAACTCAGTCAGGATAAGAGGATTAGAATCTCAATAGTGACCTACTTTGGGTACTTTGGTTGCATGCATCGATCTCTGAATTTTGGAATTTCCCCTATGACTCTTTCGGATTTTTAGACTTTACTGCTAAACTCAATCAGGACAATAGGATTAAAATATCAGAAATAGCCTCCCTTATGTTCTTCGGGTGCATCGACGTATCTAAAAATTTAGGATTTTCCCCTACGACTCAATCGGATTTTTCAGATTTTACTACTAAACTCAATCAGGATAATAGGATTAGATTCTCAAAAGTGGGCTACCTTGTGTACTTTGGTTGCATCCATCGATCTCTGAATTTTGGATTTTCCCCTATGACTCATTTGGATTTTTAGATTTTACTGCTAAACTCAATCAGGATAATAAGATTAAAATATCACAAGTGGCCTGCCTTATGTACTTTGGTTGCATCGATCGATCTGTAAATTTTGGATTTTCTCCTATGACTCAATTGGATTTTTATATTTTACTAGTAAACTCAGTCAGCATAATAGGATTAGAATCTCAATGGCTGCCTACCTTGTGTACTTTGGTTGCATACATCGATCTCTGAATTTTGGATTTTCCCCTATGACTCAATCGGATTTTTAGATTTCACTACTACACTCCATCAGGGTAATAAGATTAAAATATCAGAAGTGGCCTACCTTATGTACTTTGGTTGCATCGATCGATCTGTAAATTTCGGATTTTCGCCTACGAGTCAATCGGATTTTAGATTTTACTACTGAACTCAATGAGGGTAATACGATTAGAATATCAGAAGTGGCCTACCTTATGTACTTTGCTGAGATCCATCGATCTGTGAATTTTTATTTTTCTCTGTGGCTCAATGCGATTTTCGGATTTTAGCCTTATTCTCAATCAGCATAATATAAATAAAGTATGAGAATGGAGATCCGTCGTCTGCTTTGCTGTTGTCGAGCGATCTGTGAGGTTTTTGATTTTAGTATAGAACTGAATGAAGATGATATCATTTGGGTATGAGAGGTATCCTCTCTCGGCGTAGTTCCCTGTAACAGTGCTTGCGAGTGCCTGATGATGTTTGACACAATGACAATTTTTATGGATTTAATTAGAATTATGCTGTACCGAAATGCATATGAAAATCGATTGAAGGAAAACATGATTCTATTGCTTATATAATGAAATTTCTCACGATTAAAATGTGATTATTCTGCGGTAGAATAATAGTTGTAATTGGATTGTTAATTTCGATTCTTTGCTATAGAATGATAATATTTTGTCAAGAAAATTTTAACTATATAAGTGAAAGAATGAAGTTTTGATGCAATTGTACTCCTTTATACTCGAAGATTTGAATCAATTTAGAAGATTGAAAAATCGATTGCAGATTATAATCTGATTTCAACTCGCATAATAGATGTTAACCTCATAATAATCTTCCAATCCAATTGATTGGATTTAGGATTTCAATTGATTGAAGAGATTGAAAATCGATTGAGGATTAAAATCCGATTTCAACTCGTATAATCAGTGTTAACATCTTAATAATCTTCCAATCCAATTGATTGAATTGAGGATTTCAATCGATTGAAGAGATTGAAAATCGATTGTTGATTTTAATCAACTTTTAGATGCAATAATCGATTATAATCGATTGATTGGATTAATTTTGGGAAGGATTATGCGATTTCAATCGATTATCATCCGATTATTTTTGGAAAGTGCGATTGTTTCTCGAAAAATCAGATTTTTTCGGTGATAATCAAAAATAATCCAGATTTTCGAAGGAATTTTTTTCACTGGGAGGGACTTGAGATTTATAGTTCAAGATACAATGCAAATACTTCTCCTATTGCAGTCTAACGTTGGCCAAATGGAACCATGTATTTATATGCACAAATAATAGGGAATTTTACCGATTTTTTACTATGTTTTTGCATTTTTATCATAATACCTGGACCTTTTGATGAAAACGCAAAAAAAGTAAGAAAGTGCATTGGATCTTGAACTACAGATCTCAAGTTCCTCTATCTAAATCAAAGGTCAAAATCGAAATTTCATCTGGATAGCAGGTCATTTTCATGCATTCGTTTCCATGTTTCTCGAAGATGACTGGTTTTAAATGGATTTCGCCTTAAAAACTATCTGAGAAAAAGACGCCTCCTGTCTTATCTATCGATTGGTGAAAACTGCAGGTCTCTAGCTGTTTGCGTTCTCGAGTTATTCAAAAAATGGTCACGGGCATTATATTTTGAAACGGACATTAGATTGTAAACAAATGTATCGCCTTTTGCTGGTTGAACAGCTATACCTTGACAAATGAGGTAAAGTTGCTATAAGATATCAATTGCTGGTACAGAATCGTTATTGGTGTCTTGTAGATCGAGAAGTTCACAAAAAGTGATTTGAAAACCGGATTTTGACCTTTGGTCTAAAACAAATGGGTTTCAGAGCTACAACAGTAGCAATTCATTTTCTCAAACACTGAATTAATACTGCTGATTATCTAAATTAGAAATCTTATATGATAGCACCATTCAATCAGCATTTAATCAGAAAAATCAATAAAATTTGAAGTTCTTCCTGTTTTTTTTCCACGAGAAAATGGTGAATTCTGAGTTAATGAAAACAATCTTAAACGGTTCCAAAATACTGGATAATGTGACTTTTCATGTGGTTTTACTTCTATAATCGAACTCACTTGTATTCGGGGTTCTGCGCAATATGCTATTTTGTGCTTGTAGACGTAGGTCTCATGTAATGGTGATCCGACCATAAGACTGGCATTTGTATCAGATAGTGAGTGGAGAAACGATCATGTTTATGCATATAAAAATCTCTTTCGTTATACATGATACTGATGATTAAGCTCAGTTATCGATTATAAATCTTTCACAATAAAGATTTGTTTTTGGCTTCGATTGACGTTAAAATTCGTTATATTTATAGCACTTTTCCATTTAGTAC